TCAGGCGGGATCTATGGGAGATAGGAGTTGAAGGAGACTGGAGTTTGTTGGCCCAGGACAGGGTCCGGTGGAGGGCTTTGGGTAATTCGGTGATGAACCTTCCGGTTCTGTAAGCCATCTAGTTAGTTAGGGCTCATATGGATCACATCTTATAATATTTATACTATTGTTTAGCCTACATCTCTGCAAAAATTAAAAAAATTGTATCCGCAAGACAAAATTATTCATCAGGTACCACCAACACCAAAGTATGAATCGCAGACATCACTCAGTTAATTTATATTTTCCGAAAAACTTCCGAAGTTCTCACTGATCTGCCACTACATAAAAATTAAAATGTAATAAACACATTTCACGGGTTTGTAAAGCCGTTAGGTTGGTACAGTTGGAGACAGAAGGCTTCATAAGGGTCCCAATGTATGGGGGGCTCAAATGAAATTATATTCGTACAAGTTCCATTAAAATCGCCAAATGTGTCCGTAATTTTGGTGATCGCAGCCGAATCATAGTACGAACGAGTGGACACACTGGACGAACGATCGAATTTCGCAAACTGAGTTCGAAAGAAGGACCACGGAAGTCAGCCTACTTGTACTATGTATCGTGGACAAAATAATAACACAAGCGAACATATGGCGACGTAAGTGATTTCACAAACTGCGTCCCATGGAACCGGATTCTTGGATTTTCCACGGATAAATTCCTCCAGTGGCAGCCTACATTATGAACAACGTGCGATTCTGTTCCTACTAAAACGTTCAAGAGCGTGGTTTTTATGAGTAAATTCCACAAAATGTATAAAGGTGAGGTCGGGTTTGTAAATTAACATGCCTCATCTCCGAAACTACGGCAATGAATTTATTTCGGTTAAACTCTACACAACATTTTGTAGGGGAATTTGAGGTCTTCGCGGCTGTGAATATGTCCTGAAGATGGAAACAAATTGTTTCTCCGAAACGTTGGTATCTATCTACGAAGTCGCACAGTGTCACAACCCAGAATAATACCGACAGCTGTAGCCAGAAAAATGTATTTTTTGGCTCGTATCTGGGGTAATTTGACCCCCCAACTCAGGTCTACTTCCTAAAATTTCTCAAAAAAATGGATCAATGTAACTTATAAAAGAAAAATTGCATATCTTATAAAAACTACAACTTTTATTTGAAACATATTTCGACGCGGCGAATATTTAACAAAACATACACAAATTAGACTACGCTACGTCGTATCACGAGTGTAGTTAGCGAAACAAAAATATTAAAAAAAAGAACCTGAAATTTTTGTAAGAAACTCCACACGCCAGACATGGTCTTGAGATGCTAAAAGCCCCTAACAAACCCTCCTCCCTCCCAACGTTAATCCACAACAGCCCTAAATAATAACGAGGACCCGCGTATAACATTCCATAACACGCTTATTACTGAACAATGTCCACTACGAGATCCGGAAATTTCTGCTGATGTTCAATTTAAAGTTGAGGCAAATGAAGGCTGTGAAGCGCTATGCACCTATGGTGGCGCCGCGATGCGGTGTTCCCTCCAATCACCACTGTGCGTCTCGAAACAACGGAACGTGAGAAAAACAACACAACATCGAATCGATGCAACGAAGTGTAAACACGCGAGGTTAGGAAGTAACAGAACGAGTGTCGGTATCATGTGCTTTAACAAAGATAACTGTCTTCTGGGGTGCTGCGCCACAATGTCTCTAACAGACTACACGGGGCAATACCCCAGAAATCGCCACTGTGACGACCTCAAATCTCTCGTGTTTAACCTAACTAATTTTTTGTTAAGATTTCTGATGTCTTTAATGGCTACATAAACTCGTGAGTTCGATCTACATATCTGGTCAGCGTGCCAATAAATGACGTACAACGTTCCATTTCACTTTTTACAGTTTCACGTTCACGGTAATGTATGAAATTTCCAGTAATTATGTAGCACCACGTATTCCTGGCAGACTCTGACAGACGTCTCAGATAAACTGTTTCCTTCATCAACTCCTCTGAAATATCAGTATTTATCCTGTAGCCCTGATGACGGAGGGAGCATGCAACCCGGACGACAGCCATGTACGTGCATAACAATTTGCAGGGTATCCTGTACCGACTCGCTCCGCGCAGTCGCGTCACGACTTCCCCCCCCCACACCCCGGGTGGCGTCACCTGCCACATCTTCCAGCTCTGGCAGAGGCAATACGTCCGGGTAACGCCCATCCCGTCCAAGCAGGAAATATCATTTGGGATATTTATGAGAGGATATTGGCTAGGATGCAGGAAGGGAGAGAGGGCTTTCACCGCAGATGCATTAGCCAGCAGGAGGACGACGACAAGACAGAGACAGAGGATGGGATGGGATGGGATGTCTCTTCTACAAAGCTTTTACCTTACATTTATCGGGGCTGAGTGGAGACAGACAAGGGAAATCTGTTCTACACGAAAAACGAAAAAATCTTCTCATATCGTAAGCAGGAATCTTTTTTTCCCCCCTTAAACCAAATAAACACTGGGATGGAGAAGTAGAAATTCATGGGTCAGCTGTTTCAGACGAAAAAGCAGTGCCATCAACTCTGACACATCATTTCTGCACGAATCAGAGAAAAATATACGACACAGAGAAGCCACATCCACTTATTTGCATAATAAACTCAAATGTTACTATTTTCCATACAAAAATACATCCTTTCGCAAATGTCACTGTGACATACATATATATAAAGTCAGATATTGAGCGCCATTTGTAAGAAATCCCCACTTAATGGTACCCGCACCTTGTCGTGGTGGTGGGGCTTGACCCCAAGAGCTACTGGTAGGGCCTCCCTAGCCAGATTGGTCGAGGGGGAGAGGTCAGACTAAGACAGGTACCCTGGTCCTGCAGGTCGGGGGTTGGTCGCAAGGCTAACAGCCTTGCACCGTAAAAAGGAAGACGTTTCGAAACCTCGATCAAAGCCTCGGACGGACGGACCTAACAGAGGACCGAATGGAAGAGGTGAATTGAGGAGGCCATGGACCGAATACAGACCGGAGAGCCACAGAAGAAGAATTTGTAGGAAATAAAAAGTTTTTCTGCTCGGATGGCTCATCTAAACGAACGTCTGCATGCATCCGACAACGAGAAATTCCTGTGTCACTTTCAGCGGTTAAATCATTTACGGTGAAAGGGGAAACATATCGAAGGCAGAAGAAATGGCTTATCTGCCAATCTCTTACGCTGCCCTAAGGCGCTTACAGACTCGCGTTGTTCAAGAAATGGGAACTGCGGCAAAATTCTGCTGTAGATACGGATATTCATTTGCATTTTTCCATGGTGTCCCATGATGGAACAGAATATTAATACTCATCTTAAATAACTTACAGAAAACACCTACAATAAGAGAATCTAAAGAGATAAGCCTTCAGATAAAGAAATGTTACTTGTGACTCGTAGATAAAACCCAAATTCATGTGTCATAATGTTTTGTTAAGCCCATTTTTAGCGGTGGAATAAAACTGACCGGGATTCACGGGAAAAGCTATCTCAGTGCCACTCTGGCTACAAATCCCGCGTGGACCGCCGTGGGAGCAAACCCAGGCCTTCACAGTCAGAAACCAAGTGACTATCCACCTGAGCTATGCACAGCCCACTAACTACATACAAACAGAAGCTGTGAACAGGCTGAAGCAGTTTCGGACAACCAGAAGAAACGCGATTCTGTAACTTGGAGATTGGACAAATGATGAAACGACTTTTAAAAGCAACGTGGCATTAAGGCATGTGCCTTGACGACAGAGTAGTACGCTTTCCAGACCGTAATGTTGTCACAGTCTGGCTACCTTAATTCTTATGAAAGAACTTCTAATACCAACTGAACAGGACGCTGCGTGGTTCTTGGTTTGGACGGGAAATTTGCCGCAACTCAAATGCTGGACACAAAGCACCTACGCAATCTCGTTACTGAGATATCCCGGTTCACACGATTAACAATTTATCCACTGTAAAATAGGTCCGTGCCGTGAATCGAAGGAAGGGATTTACGTATCCTCCAGAATGACCTCCAATAGCATTTCTTTCTGTACGGCAGACATCTTTCTTTAACAAGCCCCTGCATTATGCGTGCAACAGATAATTTTGGCCCAAAGTCTCAAAACTATAGCCGTAGAACCAAAATGTAATACTTTGCTCTGTAATGGCGAGTTCTGGTTCATGGAGCAATTAACTGGATCGCAGAATATTACTTTAAAAAAATGTTACGTGGCGCATCGTCTGACACACGTGGGAAAGATGACACATACAGAGTTCTGGTCACGTAACTTGAAGGGTAGAGACAACTTGGAAGAACTAAGCATTGACGGGAGGACAATATTAAAATGGTCTTAAAAAATGAGGTTAAAGTGCATGGATTGGATTCAATTGGCTCAGGATACGGACTATGGCGACTGACCAATGAGCCTCTGGGGTCCCGTAAAGATGGGAAATTTCTTGATCAGCCGAGAAACTATAAATATTAGCCTCTGTAGGCGGAACCCACTCCACGGAGTTAATTAATTCAACACCGTCTCCACTTCAAATGAAAGTTACTAATAAACAGATCTGCGTTATCATTTGTCAAAAAGTTTGCCATACAAAAAAGAAAATGGCACATTCCATAAAATACAGACTTCATTTCAAAACTTTTAGGTGAATTTCTTTTCTTCTTTTTTTTCCGCAGCGTGGTAAATATTTAACAAAACAGTAAACATATTTTCTAAATCCATGTAGCGCAGCACACGTAAATGCGATTAGCTTTACGACGAGAGACCCGTATCTGGAATAAATGAACATCCGGGGCGACGAGATAAACAAAAACCAAAAAGACGAGCATCTGAGACGCACGTGTATGCCGTCAGGTACACTTTCGTACCAGTTCCAGTGCTGAACCCACAGAATACGTCTTGACTACAGAAAGAGAAGAAAAGAAAATGTAACTCACCGTCAGCCTATAAAGCAGCAAGTCCAGTACCGTGCCAACTTTATTACTGAAGAGAACGTACTTGGAGTTCGCTGCGTGATTCTGACAGGCTAGGTTGTAAGTGGTGCACATCGTAACAAAACATCTGCAAGAGAACACAACGTGCGCATATGAGGTTTTCGTGACGGCAAGAATGTGAATTCTGGATTGCGATGCTCGATGTGACATCTTCTCCTGAAATGGTGGTATCCACCTACACAGCCACATGGCATCTTAATCCACAATTACAAATATAACAAAGCTATGATGATTATATTGCTAAATAAATTAAACACTGCGATGAACTTACTTTAAAGGAAGATACGGTGCCATATTGACAGGAACATCCAGTCCCAAGTTAAGGATGTTGGATAAAATTGAAAAACCATTAGAGGCTTGGAATGCCATTTGATCCAATGAATTCTGGAAACAAAACAAAAAAATAATCCAGTACAAAATTTATAATCTACATCTGTCCCAAATTCAAAAACATAGGCTAGCATCGATAAGCACAGTGCATCACGAGACGATTATCCGATCGGCAACCCGAAGGTTCTCTTCTGAGGTGCCTGCCGACGGATTCCATCCTACGCTGGATCCTAACATATTTCCCCATCTACTTTTAGATCTAGGAAGTGGTACCGTAACTTCTAAACTTTTGTATGCATATATTTCTTCCAACTTTCCACTCCAATTCTTATCGCCACAAATATATCGTAACAAAAATTTTTTTTTAAAAGCGTCATCAAATTGTCCGCACATAAGTGAAACAAAAACTTGATGCAATTATTTAGCGCTGTTTACGACACAACAAAATTCTCACCTGTTTATCCAGAATTCGACTGACGTCACCAAGAGCTCTTTCCAGGGAAGTTATTGCGGGATTTGGCCACTGTCCCTTCCCTTGACTCGAGTGCAGTTTCTCTATATCTCTCAAGCATTTCTGAATACGAGACTTGTTAGGGGATTCTATTTTTATAGACGGACCCTTCTTCGACTCATATTCCTGACCTCTGAAAAGCACAAGAAATAAAAAAAGAGTGTGATCATTTTTTGCTACATTTGCAACCCTGCAAAAATTCCCATTAAAATCACTCCATCTATCTCTCCATCAACATACACGTAACCCAAGAACTGCTGAATAAATTTTCATGAAATCTGTAACTGGGGAGTTTAAAATTTGTCAACATAACCTTTTTTTTTTTTTTTTACAAAATCACACAATATCAGGCACCTTTTATGAAAACCTACACGCATTTTTGCACACAAGCACCGCAATGGCAAATTCCCAGCTGGAAATTCCTGGTAAATCACAAAGGTAGAAGGGTGGAGAATTCCTGGATGAGGTATCCCCAGCAGGGGATTACTCCAGAGAATAATAAGGGCAATCAACCCTGCGAACCTGTCTCACGCCGCTTTGCTGTCGACTGTCAGTGGTCAGAATTGCCCTGCAAGTAATCTGACATCACCCTAACAGCACAGACTGGGATGATGTTTCCCGTAAACCATCTGAACCATCCGCATTACTATCACCAATCTTCCTAATCAATGGCGCCATTTTACATTAGCCTGCTGATTCAGATGATCTCATCTCTGATGCATAAAATACTTACCTAGCTGCCATTCGAAGTCTTATTTTTTTACAACGCTTCTTCAGTGCCTTCTGACGTTCTTTATCAAAGGCTATCTTAGGGTCAATCTTATCAGCAGGAGCATCAACGATGTGCCGGATGTTATAAGACGTAAGATCCTCTCTTGATGGATCCACTCCGTGCTGATGCTGCACGGCTTCCTGGTGCTTCCGACCTCGCAAGTGACTTAAAAGGTATACTTCTGAACCAATCTGAAAACCAATGTCTCATACAGTCCAAATGCCTTGCCCATTACACGTCACGCCCACAAATCAATCGCTGAGACAGCCGTTTGCTACGGACAGCGAATAGCAGGCTTTGTATCGCTCTTCTAATGACAGGTCATGATAAACGTGTCTGAATCTCAGTTCTTAACAAAAAATAAAGTATGAATGAGCTTTAAATTGTGCAGAAATGAACAAATCAAGCTTTTTTGTTCCTGTGGAAGAGGGGCTTAAATAATTTTTACAGTTTTACAACAACAAAAAAACATTCTGGTGCAGAAGAGAAAAAAAACTGTGGGCTGGCGGGTTAAAATCATCAAAAATGAACTGTGCAAAGTTTTCATTTTATCAATAATGATAAAGCAATTAAAAAGCTACTGCTCATTATTAACGCAGGTAATGATTCCTTGATGATTGCTGTCTCCTGGGTTGTTGCACCTTGTAGCTTGAATGCCCTGATGACGGAGGCAGCGTGACCTCTGAAACGTTGGTAAACATCGACGAGACTACACAGCGCAACAACCCAGAAGACAGAAATCTTCATACTCACCGCTGTGAAAACCTCAAATCATACATAAACTATTATGTTTCTTACCAGCACATTACACACTTCACACAGCTTCTGGGTGTCATAAGGAGCAAGTCGAGGCGCTACATCATCTGTGGAGCAACGCAAAATGCTAGATTCCAGAGCCCTCTGCCGAATATGTTCAATATTCTCTTCGTGTCGACGGGCAGATTCCTCCTGTTTCTGCTGAATTTTCTTCTGAAGTTCTTCTTGAGTCGCCAACTGAGCTGCATGCAGCGCGGATAAACGCTCTTCACGATCCCTACAGGAAATATAATACAACTTAAGTCCAATCAGCTGTATGTTATAGATTCAACTTTCAGATTTTTGTCGACAGAAGCAGAATGAACTCCAGAAACAGACATGCCCTAATTTAAGAACCCAGCACTATTCCAGTAACGCAGTTTTCAAAGGAGCAATTTACAAAACCTCTTACGAATACACGAGGGCATTTCAAAAAGTAACAGCAAATTAAATATTTTGAGATATATAATTTAATTAGAGATACAAATGATATGTCATTTTTCTACATAATCACCCTCACACCGTTGCACCAACTTCTTTATTCCATCAGAAAAAAATGTTTTTGGTTGTGCCTTCAGCCAGAAATGCACCGCTTCTTTGACCTCGTCATCATTCCCAAATCGTCGTCCTCTCAAAGCGTCCTTCAGGGGTCCAAACACATGATAATCAGAGGGAGCAAGGTCAGAGCTGCATGGGGGATGCTGTAAGATCTGAAATCTCAATCTCCGAACGGTGTCAAGAGTCGCAGCAGCCGTGTCAGGGCGTGCGTCATCACGGATTGATGTTTGCCCATTTTTAAACGCGTCTACCCACTCGTACACTCTTCTCTCACCAATGCAGGCATCTCCATACTGTTGCAGCATTCTTCTAAGAATTTCTTGAGGTTTCGCACCCTCCGACCACAAAGATCTGATGATTGCTCGCTGCTCCTCTACAGCGCAAACAGCTAAGGGTGCCGCAATTTTATATATGCATCCCTTCCAATTAAGCACGCCACGCTGTCTATTGGGCGGTGTCAAAACCTTCTCTAAGAATGTATCTTCCCTGCGCGGGAGTTTGAAATGCCCGGGGTATTCATTTCGTGAAATATTGTCAATTTGCTGTTACTTTTTGAAACGCCCTCTTAAATCAATAATTCATACCTTGCTTTCTCTCTAGCTAATTCCTGCCTTTCCTTTTCTCTTTCTTGTTGCTTCCTACCAACCCGTTCCTCTCTCTTCCTCCTCATTTCCTGCATCTTTTCCAGTCTTTCCTGAAAAAAAAATTGCAATGTAACTGCATCATTCATTGTTTCACTAAAAATATTATCATAAATGCACTGTGAATTTTTAACAAAACAGAAATGAAGTCAAGGAAAATTAATATAGTGGTATCAATAAATATTTAGTTACTAAAATAAATGAAGAATTAAAATGTTGCTAGTCGCAAAATGACAATTCTTTCACCTGTGGTAAAATACATTCTACATATTGTAATACCAAATAGAATTTGCAAAATTCAGATAAATTATGAAATCCCATATCATGGAATTTGATGCACGTTTCAGAGGTGCTTGCTACCTCTATCATCAGGGTAATGGTGATGGAGGCAATTTCTATGAAACTATTTGGCGCAACAGCTCAGAAGATAGTGTCTTCATACTCTCCGCTGTGAGAACATAAAATTTACTTTAATTCTAGGAATAATTTTCCTCAGTAAATCTAAAGCTATCACTGTGCCTCAATGTCATGTTATAAAGGTACAGGTAAAGTTCCATGTGTTCTTAAACTCAGGCTGCAGGTGACTCCATGACTCTCCAAACACGCGTTATAGCTTTATCTACGATGGGGACCCAGGAGCCGAGATAGCTGAGTCGGTATAGTGACTAGCTACGGGCCGGACGACCGGGGTTCGATCCCCGACTGGGGCAGGGGTTTCTTACTTTAGCCTCTGCGTCCAGACTGACTCTGGGGCCCACCCGGCCTCCTGTCCGAAGGGTACCGGGGGTGAAACGCGGCCGGGACGTGATGCTGACCACTCACCCCATCTAGTGCCGAGGTCAAACGACCTACATGGCGTGTAGCGGGATGGCTTGGCTTTACTTATAATGGGGACCCAACTCTCAATATCCTATACAAATATTTCATTTGTTTAAAGCAAACCTACTTGTCTCTCAGCTTCCAGTACCCTTCGCCTTTCCTCTACGGCAGCTCCCTTGGCTGCTTTCTCTTCCTGTTTCCGCTGCCTTTCCTCCTGAATTCCTTGAAGTCGTTCTTCTTGTTCCTGCAAAAACAAAGAATTTGGTTTATAGCATTTATGAAAAAGCAGATTGAAAAGGCAAACAACCTTGCACCGTAAAAAGGAAGATGTTTCGAAACCTCGATCAAAGCCTCGGACGGACGGACCTAACAGAGGACCGAACAGAAGAGGTGAATTGAGGAGGCCATGGACCGAATACGGACCGGAGAGCCATAGAAGAAGTGATTCAAAATCAAATCCTTTCCAAGAGATTTTTAATTCTGGGGAACAGTGAAATGTCACACAGTGCCAAAATGACAACTCCAGTATCTGTTTCTTAGTCAGAATATCACTTTACCAAAATTTCTTTATGGAAAGGCATATTGTCATGACACAACATTCACTTTTTTTTATAGTAACGCACTGCCATAATCATTCCAAAACTTGCTGGTTGATAGATGTTTTCGAGAAACAAATTTGTAACAAGTAATTCTTCTAGTATCAAAAAAGCAAATCAGAATTGTTTTGACCGTTTACTTTCGCAGTTACGCTTTTCTTCAGTCTCGGTGACTCGGGACTTTTCAACTGGAGATTTCTGTGTCTTGTTTCCAGGTCATATCAAAAGATAATTTTTTCCGTAAGGTCAGACTCCTCCAATTTTGCATCATGGACGATACATTCAAATTCCGCAATTTATTAATACTCCTGAAGAAGAGTTTTATTACTATAATGTTTCTGACAGCTTATATCAATGATCTTAAAACTGGTGTTTAGGAAGGAATGGTTTTCTTATGTTTTCAACTGTTCATATCTATGGTTTAAATATGGTACTTAACTCAGTGGTGTTGAACAGGGTCCTTTTAACAGTAACGTTATAATGACTATGATGAGGATTTATATTCTGAATCAAATATAAAGAAGCATCAACAATAATTTACGGTCCTGTGAGGATTAAAACATCTGTTTGTGTGTCAAGTAAACAGTTGGCTTGTTTGATTTTTATTCGCTGAAAGTTTCCTTTCTTTACATTTCTCACTGATGAGATTCTGTGGCATCACTTTTACGTACACTTTCTTCACGTTCCAGACTTTGGACAAAATAAATCACAGTATATTTATCATCATATAGTTCTGCTAATTTCCAGACAATCAATCGACAGTAGTCGTCATTTCTTATCGTTTAAGAAACTTAATTTTTTTCACATTCAGATCTCTTCTCAAAGTCGTCATCTGCGTAATATCTTCCCTTTCTTCTTCAGGCTGTTAATACACAAAAAATAATACATTTTCCGCTCACCGTTCCCTCTCGATAAACTTGCTGTAACATTCTGTAAATCTCAAAAGGCATTTCTTATCTTACTGTGTTTATTTCTAACAAAACAGATAAATCTCCTACTGACCTGACAAAGAGCCATGAAATCATGTCTTTTATTCTGTGCCTCCAACTCATTGATAAACGCAATTTCCTTCAGTTTCTCTTCTTCATCATGGGCTTTTCTGATTATACCCTTCAGATGCAACTTGCGGTTAACTTCGGCCCGCTTCAGTTTCATTTCGAGTCGAACGCGTTTATCTTCGATGAGCTGCGTCTTGGCAGCTTTCACTTCTTCCACCTGCAACCCACATTCACAACAAATATGAAACATGTAAATTACGCGCACAACAACGAATATTAAAATTTACATCACTACTCTCACTGAAGATAGTTCCCAGCACATGTTAATATCAGCCCAGTTACTTTCATCATTAAACATTAATGTAACTAAGAAGCTAATAAAATGATTAACAAATAAATCGCACAAAGCGTTATACCAGATTTGTGGGTCAAATTTCCCTGAAAAATAACATAAAATCTATGACTGTAGTAATAATAACTTCGCAGTCATTTCATCGTAACGCAGGCACCAACAAAAGTTTGTCTCTCATGCTGCAATGTACGACAAAAGAGAAGCAAGAATAAAGGCACAATAAAAATTATAAAAAATCATCTCAAACACAATATAACTTAAATTCTATTTATAATTCCGCACGTCCATGAAAACATCAAATCCTACTCAGAACACAAACGTTTCATTAGTTAAACAGAAAGTTTTTGTCCCTTTCCTTTATCGGCAAGTTCGCCGTTTTCGCGATTCTTTCCCCGCATGAAATTAATGCACAGACAGCTGACCACGTGTGTCCATCTCTCCAAATACACATTTTTGACTCAAGAACCATGGGACAGAGTCTGACGACATTTGGCATGGACATTACGACATAGGACGCTAACCTACACTCACACTTTTTAATATACTATAATCAGTAATACCAACAACACAGATAAATGAACTTATGAGGGTTGGAGTGACACTACTGTAACTTCTAGACGTACTGAGGAACATAGACCTAGGAATAAAATCAGGTAAATTCTCTGACCAGGCGTATCGTCAATACAAGCAGAAATGGCAATGATCACCTTGTTAAGAAGATCTCTTAGTTTCTGTGACTTCTCGTACATCAGTCGCTCCCTCTTTTCTTTGGCCTGCTCCTGTTTGGTTTGAAAGCAGCGTAAAGTCTCTGGCAGAGTCCGACGACGTGATGGCGACGACAGTTTCTGATGAAGCTCCAGAGCACGACCGGGATGGCGTGCCTCCATTTCCTCCAGTTGTTC